GCTTCCAAAGTAGTCCGCCAAGAAAGAGGGGGACTAATCAAATGTACACCCACATACACGCTGGCAGAGGAGGGAAAGAGGGGAAAGAACCTAAAACAAAGAGAAGGGGGTGATTTCCCCCTTCCCAACTTCTTTGCTTGGATTTACTTTTGGGCGCCTCTCCTTCTTTCTCCTGCCCCCCCTCCCCATTTCATCTGGGTTTTCTTTTTAGCTTGTTTCCAGATCCCCAGTGTCTCCGTGTCTGAACCCCAGCTTTTCAAACGGGCAAATGAGTATATCCCGCTTGTTATTTGCTCCAGCTGCCGGCGTTCCCCCACGGCCACCACCCAAAGTTGCACAGCAGACCGCCTGCCAGCACACACTCACGCCCCGAGGTACAAGCGGGATCCCAGCTGGGATTCTACTCCCCTCCTGTCCAAGGACAGCTCTCTAGGACCCGGGCTGAGCCAGCCCAGAGGATCCGACTAGCTGAGCAGTGAGCTGTCCCTGAGTGCTGCGCTCCGGAGTCTCCTTTCACACGCGACGTGGGCTACCTACGGCCAAACTTAAGCCCCAGCCAGCGAGCCCAGCTTCGCCCGCCCGTAACCGCGCCAGCCCTTTGAAAGAGAAGGGAGCAGGGGTCCGCCACGGGACCTGCGCTGGCAGCTCATTTTCCTCCGCGTCGCCTTTCCGTGGCAAATGAGCGGCTCTTGTCTTCTGCGGGGGTACAGAAAAACTCTACCCGGGACAAAGCCGCCGTCTTTCTCCTCGCCGGTCTTTCTCGAGTCGCCTTTGTGTTCCGGGGAAAGATATAAAACAGCCTGTTTGCTATTCACTTTCCCCCTGCTGGCATCTATGGAATGATCTTGCCTGGAAGTAGTTGGGAAGGAGAAATCGAGACCCTTGCCCGCAAGCTCAGTTATGTGGCTTTTCACTGGCTGGATTCCTCGGGCAACAGGTTGACCTGCCGGCTGAAATTAGCCCGTTTGCTGGGGTGGCCCTGTGCATTCCCTAGCCCAGCGGTCTGGGTTCGCCCCAGCCACGCCACGCGCCTCCAACCTTAGCACAGCCAGCCCCGCTGACGCCTCAGGCGCTAATCTTTCCCTGACCCGTTAAGCTTGTGGTGTGAACGCAACCTGGGTGTGCACGAAAGCAGGCGTGTTTGGCGGTGAGTGGCTGGGAGAGGGGGCCGAGGCGCTAGGTCGCGGCCACCCGACGGACGGGCCGGTGGTGTTCACAGGAGAGGGACAGCTTCTAACCCGCCCCATCCTGCGGCCAGAAAGGGATCCCCATCCTCGCCTCGAAATTGGCCAGAGGAAGGGACAGGAATTTCCAGACTGGGCCAGAAGCGAGCACAGGTCACAATTGCCCTTTCCTGCCATCCCTCCGTTACACCTGCGAGCTTTTAACAGCAGCCTTTATTTCTGCTGCCCCCCCCTCCCTCCCAAAAAAGTGTATTAGGAGGAAAAGTGAGGCCCTCAGATTGCAGAGGGCCAAATGCAGGGGGTCGTTGCGGGGCCCGGAGTCTGAGACGCGGTTGCTGACTTCGAAGGGGTGTCGCAGACCTCTGCTTGTCTGAATATATATTCACACACACACACATATAAGTATATCAGTCTGTATGCACATATTGTGTGTGTGTGTGTGTGTGTGTGTACATATCTATCATACCCATCCATATACATTACATTGCACCGACTATATATTTGTATGGGTTAGCTATGCTCTGTTTTTCCCGTCTAATGCTAACCCCGCTGAGACATCATCATCATCATCATCATCATCATCATCATCATCATCATCAT